CATGGCATTACATCAATTTATCCTGTTCAGCTAGCATTTTTTCAGACTATTCCAAACCAAATAAACGCATAATTCGGCAACGAAAATTAAATGCGAAAAGACCTACCACTAATTAGTAGTAAAAACAGGAAACCGAGGCGTACGTACCTTATACGACTCATTCGATCGATAACTCTGGCAGGGCAATAACTGTACTGCATGAAACGAGATTCGAACACGCTTTTCTGGATCATGGTTAATTACTTTCACCACTAGAAATTAATGACGTTAGGCAATGCAAACAAACCGAAAAAAGAACAACCTACGTATAAACAGAGAAAATTCGATATGAACTGACCTGCAGCATTCGCCCCGACTGGAACGTGAATGAAATGTCGGCGCGAAAATGCAGTCTTGCACGTAACATTGTCAACACTGAAACGATAGCCCTGTGGTTTGCCGACGATCCGCGGTACGATAACTGTTACTGGAACTCGCCACAACGGCCCTTCGTCAATGGCTTCCGCGTCGTACGCACTGATCTGAATAAGAGACTAACCAACATCAGAAAATGACATCACATCAGAAAGTTTGATATGACTGCAAAGCAAAAATGCGATGAATCTCCACGAAATGGACGCAACCAACGGTTTCGAAAACTCACAAGGCCCTTGACCTTGTTTCAGACCCTTAAAGTTTGCATCTGTCTCAAAGCATAAAAACTACAGTCCAAACATAAGTGTAGGTTATTTCATTCACAGTTTCGGAACGGCGTACCTTCTTTTTCAACATCTCCTACTTTTAAAACAGTAAATAGCTTCCGCAAGAAGGACAGTCATTTTTTAAGAGCTTAACAGGCACTTCCAAAATGTCACAAATAAACATGAAAACTTGTATGTTCCACGCGCCTTTCTGAGTCATTGATAAAACTATATCAAATGTTCCATTAAGACTAACCGATCTGCAGAGCAGTGATACTTCGTTCCAAATTTATGAAGGAAATTTACCATTCTTCTATACATGCCTCATTCAAAATTACTTACGTTCATACTAAGGTAAGAAAAGCATAATCCTGTTAAATCCACGGATGATTAAAGTTATACTTGACATTTAATTTATCGGTTAAAGCATAATGCCGAAATGGAAACAAAAATTTTACAATAACAGGTAGTTTGATTCTCTCTTATGACTGTAACTTGGTAAGCCGGCTATTTCAATTTTGCTTGCTTTTCACTTTATTTATTTATTGGCTGTTATATATTGATGCCAAAAAATTTTGTTGACGAACCTTGGCAAACTTTAAAGTTTCCATCAAAGACTAAGCAGATATTTTAGGACAAATTCGTATCTACGTATCTAGTGAACAGAACAGAATTGGAATAATCTGTCGCCTGAAAACAGTTGTGCAGTGTTTTGCAACACGTTCAATACCACCTGAATGAGACAGGCGCCTATAAGTGGTAAGACACGGCCTCAAAGCGACAGCAAAATTGGTTATCCTTTTGGAGCCTGAAACTAATTAACTGAATCAGAAGGAGCAGGGCACCACATTAAAAGTATCGGCCAATTCGTGTATAGAAGGCAAGAAAAAGTCGCCAGTCTGACACAGGCGGAATAACGGCTAGAAATACACACATTCAGATCACGAATTTTGATACAAGGGAAAACAGAAAAGCTGGCATACATAGGCAAAATACTGGCGAAATCCTGAAACTACTGAAAACATGCGCGCAAACTGGCCCCTTCTTCAAACCAAGAGGAGTAATAAAACGCTTGACTGATCATTTTTGACATACATAGAATATGTAGTGACGGCGGAAGTATTATTCATTTTAAAATCCTGTCATTCGTCAGAGTCAATGGGATAGCTGCTTCGGGAAGCCTTTCCAATAGTCCCGGTCCGCCGCAGACGGGCAAGTTCAATTACCGGCGTTGTAAAGTCAAAATTGCTCGCCTCTTAAACTGTCTAATGTCTGGTGCGCCGTCATTCTCATGTGGCAACCACTAATTAGGTGGATAAAGTGCGATAAATCATCAGCAGAAAAGTCCCCCGCGGCGAATTATTATAATTACATCGTCAATCGTCGATCGCCAATGTTGCAAAAAAAGTTTCTTGTTATTTACGCTGTTTCACGACTGAAAGCTCGGCATTTGTGGCGTCCCACTGAAACAAACTAATTAAACAGAACAAAACTGTTACTAGATGCTAAGCCCTGCGGACGGTGGTTGACGTTGGTTCGGTTTCAATAACGTACATCCGCATGTGCTCAAACGGTCTAAGTGAATTTTGCACTAAACGAACATTCTTACACCGAACATTATCTTTTTCAACTCATCCATTGGTTTTTGCATCAATTTTTTTCTTGTGAACGATCGCCGTACAGACACTAATCAGACACTCTCTCGGCACTAGTCGTACCTCTGCAAAATGCACTGCGTCTGGTTCGAGACTTTTAGGATCGATTTTGATGTTAAACTGGCGTTTATAGTTCATCAACATAATGCCAGAAGGGTGCCTGATCCAATCCACATTGCATACCAGGGTGAAACGTTTGAAAAAGTTCGCTTTTTCATCGTTATCTAAACCGCAACTGTACGACGAAGCGGACACAAAAACTGAACCAACCAGCCGAGTCGCGAAACTCAGGCTCGATCGAAATGCAGATTTCGCGACAGCGCTCCACCTCGTGCAGTTCACGTAGGTAAACGCCTCGGCCGTTACTGCCTACTGTCACCTTATACTGAACGTCGTTGTTTTCTGGTCGCGTGAATTTTCGAATATATTCATAGGCATAATCAACCTGAAAAACAGCATATTTAGAAGAGCAGCATTTAAGATTCTGAAAAACAGCATAAAAGATTCTTTTAGCTAAATCACAATGCAGGCAGCAGGGGACATAAGTCTAAGGAGTACTAAACTTCTCTCAACGTCATGTATTGGAATCTAATCTACGGAGCCTGCCTGATTGGTGGAGTACCCGAATCACTGGAATAACTTTTTGTATCTGCTACGTCCTTCTCCAACTTGGAAAGAAAAACGAGCTATGAAAGAGGAAGACAAGAAAAAGAGAAAACGAATGGTTATTCAAAACAGCCTTATTGAACAATTTGATTTCGTAGACATGGTGAATACATGTTGAAAAAGTGCGAGATGGGGAGGGGGGTTGTTTTTCTCCATTTCGAAGTAGAACTTAGCAGCTGCACTGGTTAACGGGTATTTTTGAGACAGGATGGCCATGAACTACATCACTTTCACATCCTATTATGTTCGCACAAGTTCTCTCCGACAAGAAGTAGCTTACTGGATCAACCTTGAATGGGGAAGATGGATGTTTTAAAAGCAACAACGGACGTTGCAATGAGTGAAACATGAGTGCAAAATTTTTCAACAACAATATTAGACATGCATTCATGCTGAATCTACATAAGAACACCTGTCTCAAACGTTGGTCATATGAAAAACCGTAGGAGAGCTTTGACCGAATCTAATGCAACAATAAGAACATGCATCCCGATTCCCAACTCTGCATCGTTTCTACAACTCCCTTGATATCAGCAGATACGATGCGCCTATAGAGTAGTAACGAAAAAAATCAATATCAATACCTGTAAAAGACCGTACCCGTACGACAATGGCTCATGGAATTCAGTCACCTTAGCGGTGTTTTCCAGGGCGCGTCTTACGATGAATGGTGAATATTTTATTTTCTCTGCCTTCAAACCGGATAAAATACAGCCTGAAAGTGCAACGCAGTTTTAAAACAAAACCGGGTAGACATTCAAACTCAAAGAAAAACAAAAGTTTTCATAATTTAAAACTTTATTAAGAACGTTGCGGATATGTTTTTACAAAAGGCAGTCATCTATGAAATGCTTCATCCTATCACTTCTCCAGATCTACATGGCGTAGCAGCACCGTCCTCTTTCACCTAGTAGCCTTTGAACCACTTAAGCAGGCCAGGGCGCCATAGAATTTTAGCACCAGAAGTGTATGGATGCAAAGCCGTATCACTGCGCTCGCTTAAATGCATACGTCAGTAAATGCAAGAGAACGGTGTGACTACGCTTTGCAAATCTGCAGAAGTTACTCTTACCGGCAGTGTCGAACACTAACCGTTTGCTAGTAAACTCACAATACCATTGTTGATTTTTAGGTACATAAAATTTTTATTGCATATGTTATCAAATATATACTGAACGTTATATACATGCTGTTTGGTTTGCCAGGCGTCACAGGAATTCGATGGCCGTTCGATGTACTATTGTCATTTACGGTACGGCCGTTCAGAAGTAACGTCGATGATTTATCACCGCAGTTGACTTAAGCCTTGATATATCAAAATACAGCAACGCAGTGCCCCGACTTTCCGCAATTCCGTCGCCCTCTTCCTGTCTTTCAGCTATCTCGAAGTAAAGGAGAAAAGAAAGCGTACTTTCGTTGCAAACCTGTATTTCTGATCCAATTCCGTTAAAATTTCTAATCCAATTCCGAGAGTCATATTCCGTTAAAAGAAGAGAAGACAGAGTAAGTGGTTCGTGTGCTGGTGTTCATACTGAAAACTGAAAAATGCATAAGAACAGTTTATTTAAACATAACCGTTATTTGCGGAGCATCACTAAAGAAACTGGCTGAGCAGACGGATCAAAGAAACCCTAATTATTCAATCCTGCGAAAATGTTAACCGTGGTAAAGGATACGAACTCTGTGCGGAATGGACAAGCCTTCTCAAGTTCGTGACCCAAAAACTATTTAACCATAGGCCAAATGCTCACCTACAGCTCCATACGTCACAACTGCTGCAGATCACATAACCAACTGCAGAGACTAACCCTAACCACCATGAAGAAGGGGCGTGAGAGTCGAGCCGAAATGTTAGTATAGGTCGATCACAGTATTGATCAACTTATTCATTTGTTTTGTGCATAAACTGTTTATATACATTTTTCAGTTTTCAAGGACAGACGACAGTGCAAAACCTATCTTTCCATTAGATTTCCTTCCATCTTTCAATGGGAGACAGACACGGACGGTAATCCCCAACTCTTTCACCAAGGGCTAGAGTCAATACCGTTTTCCTGCCTGAGTTGCCTTAAAGGCTCTATCTGTCATTCTTAGTAACTACTGCGGCTTTAGCTGACACATTCAGGTTTCGCGTCAGGCTTTTCCGCTAGCCACAACGACTAGGGATAATACACGCAGCCTTGCTTCACCTTGCTTCATTCTTGGCATGATACTATGATGTACTTGTGTTGCTATCAGCTCTTTATGATTCAGATGGGAAGTCTAACGTATGAAAAGCCGAAAATGGAGCAAAACTGCATTTGCTGTGTGGATACATGAACTGGCTGATATCCAACCGGACAAATTCCGCAGGGCTTGCATCTACTTGCCACAGCTACTAAAACACCTTGGAGCAGTAGTATGGTTAAATGTCTCTATTATCATGAAAACGATCTAATGATGCTGTGTAAACCTGAAGAAGGACTCACTGCAGAATTCATACAAGCTTATCTTCAGCTGCAGTAGCAAAAATCACGTTTTGCTCGTATGGCAAACCATACGTTGGGTAATGTTACCCATAAATATTTATAGGTAAAAGTTGGAGCTATGATCAGATAGCTAACAAATCAACAAGTGATGTGGCTACACATACAAGCATGATCTGCGTTTAATTTTAAACACATCTCTGTGCGTTTCGATATCAGATTTAGCAAGAAAACTTGGTAGCCTATAAGAATTCTTAGTAGGGGAAGTTACAATGCACATCGACATGTTGATTTAATCCGTCTTGGATTGTTGAATTTTGTACCTGGGTCATATCCGCACAGTGATCATTAAACTTTTGCCGATAAACGGTCAGTTCATGAACATTCTGAGGTATGACTGTATTCCACATTCTGTTATGATGATACTTACAGATGGCACCGGCGACATGAGGTGAACTCATCGACGTCCCGTTGAGCAACTGTGAATTGTTCAGCGTCCATCTGGGCACGGATGTTATGGCAGCACCCGGCGCACTGATGCATACTCCGCGCGCACCGTCGCAGCTGAAATGCTATACATGCGCAAAAACACGTACACCGAACGAGCGAAGCGGCGCTACGAACCATGGTCCCCTTGACGACCACGGGTAAAGCGTGGCGGGCAGTTTCTCGCGTAAGGAGTACAGCGTAGTCATCATCGACGAGGAAAGGAAAGCGCCAACGCCTAAAACAGTCTCGTACCATACATATTCACACTGATGGACGCACAAAAAACTACGCGTCTCACCTATGCACGACTTGGTCGTTCCACCAGGACAACCGACCGTGCTGAGGCAAGGACCATTGTTGCCGGCCGCGGATACGAAGATTATGCCGTGCTTATTGACCGCTGCAGAAATGGCGGCAATGGTCTGACTAAAACGCACGTAAACACGATGACCTGCATGATCAAAGACGATTCAAAACCATCCACAAAACATGCAGCGAAACAGCGACAATTCCCATAAAAATTAAATACTTCAGGCAACAATGCGACAAACAGAAAATCGTAACAAAATTAAGTCATTATTATCTAAAGGTTTCAATTAATGTGTGCTACTCCAACATCGTCCAATGAAACAAGACAGCGGGAAGTCGTATTTACAGATTGAGTGTTACCCCTCTATTCACCATCATTTAATCAGGAGACCGTGTTCTGTTAACTGCAATGTAATGAACGCATAAAGGCTATGTTCTTTTAGATATGAGGGTGAGACAAAACAAATCTGCATGTAATTTCTGCAATAAGCTTTACCCGATATCAATAGTTAACCAAAATTGAGCGGGATACATGAACAGCTGAAACGTTGGATTTATTTAAGGTAAACGTTTATCATAGCGCATCGTCAGTCAATCGGTTCAACAAGAAGCGCGTTCGAAAGTTATGCTACAGTCTCCCACTGTCGTTGGTGTATGACAGCCAACTAGATCGCAAAGCTATCCAGTATCGACTGATCCGCTCTCGACCTTGTCCAATAAAGGCAGCAAAAAGGTCGAAGTGGATATTAAGATGTTCTAGAAAAACGGCGGCGTAAATGGAACATGACTTCTCTTCCAGAATCATTAGAAGTCGCTTGGACTGCCGCTTCTGCAACCCGAAAAGAACAACGAGCTGAGAAAATTCATAAATGAATGGGAAGTGGTGACAGTTCTATCTGTTCTATCAATCATATCGAAAAAATATCAGCTCATTCAATGCATCATTGCATGAAAATACAGGATAGTTCTAAGGCAGATAATCAGTAAAGTGCTGAAACCGGAGGATTTCTATGATAATATTCCGAAAATTAAATTGGAGTTGGGGCTTCTGCCTTTGGCACTTTCTCACGGAACGGATAAGAACATTTAAAGAGGCGCTGTTCCTAACTCCTTCTAAAGACCCGAGGCAGAAACGGAAATGATTCTCCAGCAGCACAGTTTAATTATAAATTGAGAAAACAGATACTGTTGTACGGGCAACTCGATAACTCTTGAATGAACTTCTATCAATTCTGAGAATGTGCCTTGTTACTCCCCTAAAGGTAATTTCCGCTAGATCACAAACGATGGCCGTGAAATCTATCAAGAAATCTAAACTAATTCGGTTGCAATCCCATGCAAAGAAAGTTCTTAAGGTGTCCTGACTACATTCAACTGAAAAACACTGGCAAGAACAACTTCCGTTTTACATAAGGTGCATGCAAAATATCGTCCAATACAAAATTACCCACATTACACAATAACAGTCACATTAAACCAATTAAACAGCAAACAAATACAAAACGAGGCCGACAGGCCAGCAGTAATACGCACCCTTCGTTCGGCCAGTTAACCGCTTCCCCAAAGCTGTAATTGATGACGTCCACTTTACGCTCAATGCAGTAATTGATCTGTTACGCTGGCGTAAAAACAATATGAAACAAGTCACAAAAGCACTTACCGCGCGAGTGAGTGCAGTGCCCGTCTCCATCGCGTTCAGCCGACCATCTCCGATGATCAGTGATATGATCTGAGCACCAGGAGCGATGCCGTTTCGTTCTGGCTCCTCGGGAAAATATCCAGCCGCGATGCCTGCCACGTGCGTCCCGTGTGACCCTGAAAGCAAGCAACCGCAAAGTCAGTTTCCATTCATCTACCGTTCATTCATTTCAATCTACGTCCATTAGATATTTAAAGAACATGATACATTCGTCATGTAAGTCTAACATTACGTTTAAAAGCTAGAGCTTTTAATATCATTTTACTGAAGTGAAAAGATTTATTGCTGTTTGCTCTGATTATCACCATGAGCCGTTCAGATTAGCAAAACGTCGCTGGTTTGCAGTGTCTCGTGTTTTTCAGCATTTCAACAATCGCTTGTGAAAACGACTACAGCAACGTCGAAAAACGTCGAAAACTCGTTTTTTACAAAGGCGGATATGCCTCTCTCGTCATCTATACTGCAAACTAGCCTCCATGTCGATATCTACCATGTTTCGATTCTCATAAGAGCTGCCTCTGAACTATGGAAAATGATCTATGCTACACAAATTTGTCAACAGGACGTTACATTTGCATGATGTCGTTTTTCAAAAGCCTACTATATCACAACACCTACGGCATTTTAAAAGGAAAAACTTGCCGCTGAACGCTGATCAGTATATGGCTTGTAAATATTAGCCTCATCGACATTCATTTTTTTTCTGTTTCTGAAAGAACTAGTTTCTAAGCAAGGGAAAATTGCTTATCCTAAACCACACCTTATAGAACTGTGGCTGAAAAGATCGCGTTATAAAAGATCCTTAGAGCAGAAAGAGGAACGGGCATAAAGCAAAGCCTCTGCACTGCTATCTTTCGCGTTAATTCAATCTATTTACTAGATAAACAACTACATACGCAGGAACAGTTCCGGTAAAAAAACTATAATAAAAAAACTCTCCGTAAGGCAATGGGCAGTGCGACGACAGAACAGCAGTTATCAGCTGACTTTGGGCTTTAGAGAATGCAAAACTGATTCGTCAAACTGATGCGTCATCATATTAGTGTTGTGTAATCAGTTGTTTGGATGCTTGAGCCAATGAGCTGTGATCTCTGGCGATGACAGCGTGAAACTGTCTGGCTGGCCTAAACTACTAAACCATCTAATTGATATGTCCCATGATGTTCCTGAGGTGCGCCGTCTTAAAGATGACAGCAACATCCAATTGTGCATGCGCATAACCACTGTGAGGGCACCACAGACTGGA